GCGCAGGGCTCCCTCAAAAAAACCCTCAACTCTGAACCCTAAACCGTCAGTGGGCAAAGGCCCGAAGCCCCAATGCCCTGGCCACCCTGAGCCCCAAAGACCACGAAAACTCTGGGCCGTGAGCCCCGTGAGCCCCGAAACCAGGGTTTAGGGTTTAGGGTTTAGGGTACCATGAGCCCGAAACCCAGAAAGGCGAATACATCAGTCAGAGTAGCCATCAATTTTAAACCCTAAACCCTAAACCCTAAACCGGAAGCTGCCAGGAGTGGATGGCTCGGACATTTTGCCAGCACCGCCAGAATCGCCCGGGCTCCTTAATCTGCCCCGAGGCTCGGGGAGCTGGGAGGATTTAGGGCCTTTAGGGTTTAGGGTTTTGTTAGGGTTTGGCGGTTTAGGGGGCTTTTTGGGGTTCTCAGTTTTTTGCGTTTCGGGTTTAGGGCTGCGATTTGTTGAAGTTTCTGGTTTAGGATCGGGGGTTTCGGATTGGGTTTTTAATTTTGGAGATATAGGTTGAGGGTTTGGTGTTTCGGATCGGGGTCGGGTTTTGCTCCCCTCTGGACCTTAAGCCCTAAACGCAAAACTCTAAACCCTAAACCCAAACTCGTTTAAACCCGAAGACCTTAACCGCAAGCCAGGCTTGTGGATGTGCTGGATCCAGCACGGACCTTCTTTGGTGTCCGACTTCCTGTACGAACTCGAACCTCGTGATTTGGTTCGGTTTAGGGTTCAGGGTGTGGGTGGTCAAGGATTGTAGTTTGAACGACCAAAGCAGTGAAACAGTGAAATCACTTTTTGCCACACGCCGTGGTTCTGGGACATTGATGTCAGTTCCTTGACAAGAGCCCAAGGTGACCGGCGACCGGTGACTGGCGGGTTTGGACCAAATTTCGTGCAGGGCAGGAGACTGGCAAAGCTCGAAATTTCAAACTGACGATCCCTGACCCTGCAGACCGTGACCGCTGAACTCTACTAGACACCTTATAGAGCAGGTTGTGGAAGGAGCGTTTTTAAAAGGATCCCTAAACCCTAAACCCTAAACCCTAAACCCTAAACCGTAGACAGCAGCCCAGCCTTCGTCCGTCCCTTCCCGACTGGGCGCGAGGGTGACGCGGGTGACCTCGCGCTCGGTTTTGCAGTCAAAGGATGAAGTTCTGGGAGGTCTGTGCCCGGGTTTAGGGTTTAGGGTTTAGGGTTTAGGGCTTCGAAGGAGACGGAGAAAAGTTGGGTATGGTTCAGGGGAGCTGGTACATGGAATCCGCAACATAGAGCCGCCTCGCTTCTAGTAATCTCTACTAGGCTTAAAGCCAGAAGCATTGAACCATGAATCCTAAACACCTTGCCCCCGAACGTCAAATCCCGAGTCCCGAAATGTGAACCCGAAGCCCTGAACAAAGCCGAGTATTTGTAGGATAATCTACCCCAACAACCTATTCTATTTAGCCAGGCCCCGGTCTTAAGTCTTGTGCAACATTATCCTGAGTATGAAGGCGCTTGTAGTCCATCTGTCTGAGGTGCATTTCGGATTTCTGAAGTTTAGGATTTTGGGATTGAAAGGGTTGGAGTTTTGGATTAAGGGTTCAGGATTTGATTATAGGAAGTGGGTAGTAGAAAGGGCAGCACGGTTGCCCAAACTAGAAACGGAGCCAGACTGAATCAGAATTTCAGGTGAATCTGAAGCTGATTGAGCTTTGAATCACCGCAGATATTAGCGCAGTATTACGGTCTCCGCCTTCTCCCGAACGGGAGGACAGTGGGATTTTCCAGAATCTGTGTTAGGTCATAGCCTTCTTCAAGAAGCTTTGAATGACGTTTTCGGCATCGATGCCGAGGGTACCGGAGCGGTCCTGGACTCTGCCAGCACACAAGCTTGGGTTCGTCCTGGCGTGAGGCATGTACATCCTGAGCTGCAAATTATCGCGAAATCAAGCATGATTATGATAATTTTGTGACGATGCGTAGTGGAAGCAGCAGTAGTCCCAGCCCGTTGCCGCAGCCATAGCAGGAGCACTAGCAGTCAGAGAAGGGCAGCAGCAGCAGCAGCAACAGAAGCAGCAGCAGCAGCAGCCCCGTTGCCGCAGCCATAGCAGGAGCACTAGCAGTCAGAGAAGGGCAGCAGCAGCAGCAGCAGCAACAGAAGCAGAAGCAGCAGCCGCAGCAGCAGCAGCAGCCGCCTAGCGCTAGCAGCAGTAGCAGCTGTGCCAGCAGTAGCAGTGGCAGTAGCACTAGTGGTTGTAGTGGTAGTAGCAGCAGAAGAAATAGTAGAAGCAGAAGCCGTAGCAGCAGCAGTGGCAGCAGCTGCAGCGGTACCAGTAGCAGCAGCAGTAGCAGTCGTAGTGGCAGTGGGGCAGTGGTAGTGTTGGTAGTGTGGGTAGTGGAAGCTTTGGTAGTACAGTAGTAGTAGCAGCAGCAGCAGCAGTAGTCGTCGTCGTAGCAGTAGTAGCAGTAGTAGCAGTAGTAGTAGTAGTAGTAGTAGTAGTAGTAGTAGTAGTAGTAGTAGTGGTAGTAGTAGCAGGAGCAGGAGCAGGAGCAGGAGTAGCAGTAGTAGTAGTAGT